CTATAGCAAGCTATGATGAGGCTACTATCCCCCAGCCTGGACAACAGAGCAAGCCACCTCCCAAAAAAAGAAAAAAAAAAAAAAAAAAAAAAAAAAGAAAGACTTCTTTTTCCAAACACTCCAGCTAGGTCAGGCAACACCTTAGAACCTGGTAGCTTCATCATTGACCTGTTTTTCTAATTTGTTAGGGGTCAAGGCAGGTAACGACAAGACAGAGAAATGCTTCCTGAGTAAACACCTCTGCGGCAGGCAGTTAGAAGTTAATACTTACCCCTGAGCTCCTCTGTTAAAGTGTAAATGTAATCTACAAGCTTAAACCTGTTGGGCACTCACACCTTAGTGAAAGTTACTCTTCTCACACTTTGTCAGGATGACATGTCTTGAGTATGAATCTGGATGTGGTGACCAGAGCCAGAACACTAAGGACCTTCAAAAAATTGACAGTAAGAGGGAGCCAGAGTCTGACTCCAGAGTGGATGGTTTGCAGAGGACACACAATCAATCACAGGGACAGAAGGAGTGCCCAGGGCAGCAGCATGCCTGCTCTCCCTGCAGGAACCGCGGATACACCAGCCTGGGTGCAGCAGCAATGGCTGGAAGGCTGTCTGACGTGCTGCACTCCTACTGACGGAAACATCCTGCTTCATACGCCACAGCAACCTGTCCTTAAAACAGAAAGAGGCCAGAGTAATCCTGGCACCCTGGGAGGCTGAGGCGGGAGCTTGGGTGAGAGTGAATCCTGATCTCTACTAAAATAGAAAAAGTAGCTGGGTGTGGTGGTGGGCATCGGTAGTCCCAACTACTCGGGAAGCTGAAGCTAAAGCTGAAGCAGGAGATTGCTTGAGCCCAGGTGTCTGAGGTTGCAGTGAGCTGTGGTGATACCACTGCACTCTACCCTGGGTGACAGAGTGAGAGTGTCTCAAAAACAAACAAACAAACCCCAAGAAAAACGTCAAACAGTGGCTAAGCTTCCATGAGGGAGGGACCACATCTATCTGCCATCTACCAGGCCATGCACACAGCAC